CTTGGGTGGAGGCAGTACCCCACCTGGCCTCTGTTTGCCCTCCTTGGGCTACAACCACTGTCCAACCAGTCCCATTGAGATGAAACTGGTACTCTGGTTGGAAATGCGGAGATCACTCCCCTTGTGCATCACTCTAACTGGGAACTGTGCCCAGAGTTGTTCCTGTTCACCAGGGTTGAAGTGAAGAAAAAAATGCTAAGAGCAGCCAGAGAGAAAGGTCGGGTTACCCACAAAGGGAAGCCCATCAGACTCACAGTGGATCTCTTGGCAGAAACCCTACAAGCCAGAAGAGAATGGGGACCAATATTCAACATCCTTAAAGAAAAGAACTTCCAATCCAGAATTTCATATCCAGCCAAACTAAGCTTCATCAGTGAAGGAGAAATAAAATCCTTTGCATACAAGCAATTGCTGAGAGATTTTGTCACCACCAGGCCTGCCCTACAAGAGCTCCTGAAGGAAACACTAAACACAGAAAGGAACAACCAATACCAGCTGCTGCAAAAATGTACCAAATGATAAAGACCAATGACAAAGAAACTGCATCAACTAACAGGCAAAACAACCAGCTAGCATCAAAATGGCAGGATCAAATTCACACATAGTATTAACCTTAAATGATTAAAATATTTACCAAACAAATAGCGAGCAAAAAAAATAAATAAATAAAAAAGGAGAATTTGCCATCCTAGTCTCTGATAAAATGGACTTTAAACCAACAAAGATCAAAAGGGACAAAGAATGACATTACATAATGGTAAAGGGATCAATGCAACAAGAAGAGCTAACTATCCTAAATATATATGCACCCAATACAGGAGCACCCAGACACATAAAGCCAGTTCTTAACAACCTACAAAGAGACTTAGACTTCCACACAATAATAATGGGAGACTTCAACCATCCACTGTAAATATTAGATCAACAAGACAGAAAACTAAGAAGGATATCCAGGACTTGAACTCAGATCTAGACCAGGCAGACCTAGTAGGTATCTACAGAACTCTCCACCCCAAATCCACAGAATATACATTCTTCTCAGGACCACATTGCACTTACTCTAAAATTGACCACATAATTGGAAGTAAATCACTCCTCAGCAAATGCAAAAGAACAGAAATCATGGCAGTCTCTCAGACCACAGTGCAATCAAATTAGAACTCGAGATTAAGAAACTCACTCAAAACCGCACAACTACATGGAAACTGAACAACCTGCTCCTGAATGACTACTGGATAAATAATGAAATGAAGGCAGAAATAAAAATGTTCTTCAGAAACAATGAGAATGAAGACACAAAGTACCAGAATCTCTGGGACACATTTAAAGCAGTGTTCAGAGGGAAATTTATAGCACTAAATGCCCACATGAGAAGTGAGAAAAGATCTAAAATTGAACCCTACCCTCACAATTAAAAGAACTAGAGGAGTAAAAGCTATCAGAAGACAAGAAATAACTAATATTAGAGTGTAACAGAAGGAGATACAGGCACAAAAAACCCTTCAAAAAATCAATAAATCCAGGAGCTGGTTTTTTGAAAACATCAACAAAATAGATAGACCACTAGCCAGATTAATAAAAAAAGAGAAGAATCAAATAGAGGCAATAAAAAGTGATAAAGGGGTTATCACCACTGATCCCACAGAAATATAAACTACCATTAGAGATTACTACAAACAACTCTATGCACATAAACTAGTAAACCTAAAAGAAATGGATAAATTCCTGGACACTTGCACCCTCCCAAGCCTAAACCAGGAAGAAGTCAAAACCCTGAATAGACTAATAACAAGGTCTGAAGTTGAGGCAGCAATTAATAGCCTATCAACCAAAAAAGTCCAGGTCCAGACAGGTTCACAGCTGAACTCTACCAGACATACAAAGAGGAGCTGGTACCATTCCTTCTGAAACTATTCCAAACAATACAAAAAGAGGGAATCCTCCCTAACTCATCTTATGAGACCAACATCATCCTGATACCAAAACTTGGCAGAGATGCAACTAAAAAAGAAAATTTCAGGCCAATATCCTTGATCAACATTGATGCAAAAATCTTCAATAAAATACTGGCAAACCAAATCCAACAGCACATCAAAAAGCTTATTTATTATAACAAGTCAGCTTATTCCCCAGGATGCAAGGCTGGTTCAACATATGCAAATCTATGAACATAATCCATCACATAAATAGAACCAAAGACAAATATCATATGATTATCTCAATAGATGCAGAGAAGACCTTCCACAAAATTCAACAGCCTTTTATGCTAAAAACTCTCAATAAACTAGGTATCAATTGTACATATCTCAAAATAATAAAAGCTATTTATGACAAACACATAACCAATATCCTACTGAATGGGCAAAAACTGGAAGCATTCCCTTTGAAAACTGGCACTAGACAAGGATGCCCTCTTTCACCACTCCTATTCAATATAGTATTGGAAGTTGTGGCCAGAGCAATTGGGCCAGAAATAGAAATAAAGCACATTCAATTAGGAAAAGAGAAAGTCAAATTGTCTCTATTTGCAGATGGCATGATTGTATATTTAGAAGACCCCATCATCTCAGCCCAAAATCTTAAGATGATAAGCAACTTCAGCAAAGTCTCAGGTTACAAACTCAATGTTCAAAAGTTACAAGCATTCTTATATACCAATAACAGACAGAGAGCCAAATCATGAGTGAACTCTCATTCACAATTGCTGCAAAGAGAATAAAATACCTAGGATTACAACTAACAAACCACTGCTCAAGGAAATAAGAGAGGACACAAACAGATGGAAAAACATGCCATGCTCATGGTTAGAAAGAATCAATATTGTGAAAATGGCCATACTGCCCAAAATAATTTATAGATTCAATGCTATCCCCATCAAGCTACTATTGACGTTCTTCACAGAACTGGAAAAAAACACCTGAAACTTCATATAGAACCAAAAGAGAGCCCATATAGCCAAGACAATCCTAAGCAAAAAGAACAAAGCTGGAGGCATCACGCTACCTGACTTCAAACTATATTACAAGGCTACTATAATTGAAACAGCATGGTACTGACACCAGAACAGACACAGACCAATGGAACAGAACAGAGGCCTCGGAAGTAATGCTACACATCTACAACCATCTGATCTTAGACAAACCTGACAAAAACAAGCAATGGGGAAAGGATTCCCTGTTTAATAAATGATTTTGGGAAAACTGACTAGCCATGTGCAGAAAGCCGAAGCTGGATCCCTTCCTTACACCTTATACAAAAATTAACTCCAGATGGATTAAAGGTTTAAACGTAAGACCTAACACCATAAAAACCCTAGAAGAAAATGTAGGCAAAACCATTCAGGACATAGGCATGGGCAAGGACTTCATGACTAAAACACCAAAAGCAATGGAAACAAAAGCCAAAATAGACAAATGGGATTGAATCAACTTGAGTGCTACTGCACAGCAAAAGAAACAATCATTAGAGTGAAGCAGCAACCAACGAATGGGAAAAGTATTTTGCAATCTACCCATCTGACAAAGGGCTAATATCCAGAATCTGTGAAGAACTTAAACAAATTTTCAAGAGAAAACCTCATCAAAAAGTGGGCAAAGGATATGGACACGTTTCAAAAGAAGACCTTTATGTGGCCAACAAACATGAAAAAGAGCTCATCTTCATGGATCATTAGAGAAATGCAAATCAAAACCACACTTATATACCATCTCAAGCCAGTTAGAATGGTGATCATTAAAAAAATCTGGAGACAACAGATGCTGGAGAGGGTGTGGAGAAATAGGAACACTTTTACACTGTTGGTGGGAGTGTAAGTTAGTTCAACCATTGTGGAAGACAGTGTGGCAATTTCTCAAGGATCTAGAACTAGAAATACCATTTGACCCAGCAATCCCATTACTGGGTATATACCCAAAGGATTATAAATCACTCCATTATAGAGACACATGCACATGTTTTTTTTTGTTGTTGTGGCACTGTTTACAATAGTAAAGACTTGGAACCAACCCAAATATCCATCAATGATAGACTGAATAAAGAAAATATGGCACATATACACCAAGGAATACTATGCAGCCATAAAAAAGGATGAGTTCATGTCCTTTGCAGGGACATGGATGAAGTTGGAAACCATCATTCTCAGGAAACTGACACAAGAACAGAAAACCAAACACCACATGTTCTCACTCAGAAGTTGGTGTTGAACAGTGAGAACACATAGACACAGGGAGGGGAACATCACACACTGGGGCAGGTTTGGCGGCTAGGGGAGGGATAGCGGGGGGGGGGAGGTGGGGGAGGGATAACATAAGGAGAAATATCTAATATAGGTGATCGGGGGGAATGAATGCAGCAAACCACTATGGCATATGTATACCTATGTAACAATCCTGTATGACCTACACATGTACCCTCCAACTTAAAGTATTAAAAAAAAAATATTCTGCCACAAAGCTTGGCTATGGATTCTCTCAACAGAAAGAAGAGAACTCTATTTTAAGATGAGTTTTTTTTTCATCGATATGTCTGTTTGTTTTCCTCCTGCCTCTTCTCCATTTCTCAGTTTGGAGTATTCAAGAAAAAGAAATACAATGTCCTCCTAGTAGGCTACAAAAGTTTTTGAGACATCAGGGATCCCTTTGAACACTTCTCAAAAACAGATTTAGAAATGTCAACAACCTCTCTCAGCACAGGTTCAGAGTCTCAAAACTTGGCAAAACCAAGACTGAATCCAGATCTGACTAGTGGTATTGGGCAAATCATTACAGCCCCTTGAGCTTGAATTCTCTCACTTCAAAATCACTTAAGATTCAACATAAGGAGTAACATACGTAGCCCAGTGCCTGGCACGGAGGAAGCCTTCAAGTATCGACATGATAACCTCACAATTACCTTGAAGGTCTCCAATGGAGTGCTCTTCCTTCAGCTTCGAGCTTCCCAGGGACCTAGGTTTCCCTTTCTTCCTCCTGCTCTTAGCAGGCCTGAGATAGATTTACTTGCAGTTTCTTCCTTCCTTGATTTTTGGCTATAAAATACTCCATGAAAATTGGAGGTTGATAAAATTATGTAAATTAAGATGGTTTCTTCCCAAGCCCTCTAATTCATTCCCAGAATGATCATCTGAGAGGAGTGCTTTGCCAGATAGGCCAGCATCTTTGTAAATCTTGAGCAATGACTGCGAAACCACCTAAACTACAGGATGCTTGTGTTTTAGTAAAGTAAAATATCTACTCTGCCCACACCTAATTAAAAGGGCTGATTTCATTATATGAATATGCTAGGGAGAAAGGAATGAGAGATGTGCTTTATTTCTTTTCTCAAACTCCAAGGAAACAATAAAATGGCAGAAACAGCAGTCTGAGATGTTGGAGATAATTGTTGTTTAATTCTGGATTTGGTTAGTTAATGAGCGCTGTACAGAAGGCCTCTTTTACAGCACAAACTGTCACTGTATATATTGGGTATGTGTCGTCTGTGTGTATTTTGCAAATTACATTTTTCCAGTGTAAGCAGTAATCCTGCCAAACAATTACAGTGTTTACAGAATCTGATATAATCCATCTGTTGAAAAGGCTCTTCTGTGTTTAGGCTGATAAAATATAAAACAGTTGGTGAAGACTTAGCAAAATCCATAGATCTTGATTCTGCAGGAATGCTAAGTTCTTGTAGGCCATACAATGGCAATTCATGGTGAAAAGCTTCCAGAATCCTGTTGGACTCTGACAAGTTCTCTGAGAGAGTGGCTAGCACTCGTGACACCCAACTGCCTTCCTGAATACATTACCTTCTCACTAGCAACTGAATACAAGGGCATGGTTAGGTGCACTTGAAATACAAAGTAGAGTTGACCCTTCAACAACATGGGTTTTAACTGTACAGGGTCCACTTATAGGCAGATATTTTTCAACCAGGCAAAGATTGAAAATATAGTATTCTCAAGATTTAGAATCTGCATATATGGAAGGCTGACTTTTTATATAAATGGCCTCTGCAGGGCTGACTGCAGGACTTGAGTATGCACTGATTTTGGTATACATCAGGGTCCTGGAATCAATCCCTTGCATATACTGAAAAATGACTGAGTCCAAGGTATGTATTCTCAGCTGGGTGCAGCAGCACATGCCTGTAGTCCAAGGTACTCAGGAGGCTGAGGAGGAAGGATTTCCTGAGGCCAGGAGTCCAAGGCCACAGTGTGCTATGATTGTGCCTATGAATAGCCACTGCACTCGAGCCTGGGGAACATAGTAAGACCTCTTGTCTTAAAGATATATACATAATACATATTCTCTTCCTTCTTCTGGCATTCTTTTCTTCTAAATTTGGTATGACATTAACAGAAAAAGCAACTCAAAGAATTAGTTGAATGTCACTTCTCCCATGACAGGTGTGCTGTGTTTGGTTTTTTGTTGTCTTTTTTGTTGTTGTTGTCACTTATGAGGTGAGATGAAAAAAACATGTTTTACAAATGTTAACTTTTTTGAGACTGTGTCTTACTTTGGATTCCCCAAGATGCAGACCATGAAAGAAAGACTTGATTTTTGTTTCAAGTGGTTTATTATGGAGGTACGGAGAACCCTGGCAGGGGATTCAAGAAGTGATAGAGAATACAGCCAACAGCTATATTTAGCCACCTCTGTCAGTAACTGGGGCTTAATTTCAGAAGAAATAGTGTAATATACACCCTTTAGGATTATTCAAACTGAGAGGCGAGGGAGTTGGGGTATTTGTGCACCAACTCCCATACATCACTGGTTAAAGACTGCTACTGATCAGTGGTCATTCTTCAGTGTTTCCAGCCTGCTACATGCGGCATCAGGACAGCTTCTGAACATAAAGACATTTAGGCGCTGGAAGCTGGAAGTGGAGTAGAACTCAATAAAACAGTAAATTCTGAGGGATAAAAGTGGATACCAACAATGCCTGGTTTACTCTATTTCCATCTTCCATTTCTGAGGAACTTAATACTACCCATACTAACTCAACGGTTCTATTTATGAGGGTCATGTGGGTAACAAAAATATAGCTAAGGGGGGGATGGGATCCAGAAGACATGTCTTGATGCCATCTTGACATAGCAAGCAGCCTGTTTTTCATAGATGGTACAAGTATTTGCCATAGCTTATAGGGAGGAAAAGGAGGAGGAATCTGAGGGTACGGTAGAAGGTACCAGCTACTCCCTTGAATCTGTGACTGTGTTCTTCCTGCCTTTTTCACGTGGTGATTACAAAGGTTCTCTGAGTTGAGTTTCTTCCTTAAGACTGTACAAACAATGAGTAATGCCAAGATTCAAAAACAAGTCCATCTGATAGAAAAGTTCATGCATAATTATTGCTTGTGAAATACCATACCTTAGAATAGTGTTTTTGGTTTTTTGTTTGTTTTTGTTTGTTTTGTTTTTTGAGACAGAGTTTCACTCTGTTGCCCAGGCTGGAGTACAATGGCACAATCTCAGCTCACTGCAACCTCCATCTCCCAGGTTCAAGCAATTCTCCTGCCTCAGCCTCCCAAGTAGCTGGGATTACAGGTACCTGCCACCACACCCAGCTAATTTTTGTATTCTTAGTAGAGATGGGGTTTCACCACATTGGCCAGGCTGGTTTTGAACTCCTGACCTCAGATGTTCTGCCTGCTTCAGCCTCCCAAAGTGCTGGGATTATAGGCGTGGACCACCGTACCCACCTAGACTAATGGTTTTCAACCATGGTGGAGATGTTCGTGGCAACCTTATTCCTTAAAGGACATGATGACGACCAGAGACATCTTTGGTTGTCACACTTAGAGAGACATTACTGACTCTAGGGAATAGAGGTCAGCGATGCTGCTAAAAGTCTTAAGGTGCATGAGACAGCCCCCTTCAATGAAGAATTATCTGTTCCAAAATGTCAATGGTATGAGGTTGAGAAAAACATGTCCTAAAGGCTAAGGACATGAATTCTGATCCTGCTACTTATTAAGTAAAATTTAAGAAGCCCAAAGCCCTTTTCCTCATCTCTCACAAAAATGGAAGAGGTATCAATGACCTACTTTCTAGCAACTGATTCTCATATTTTACTGTGCTTCATATCAGGGTGTTTAAAATGCAGCACTAAAGATCTGAGAATCTGAGCCCTAACGATTCTGATTTAAGTAATTCTGGAGAAGGGCCCAAAAATCTGTTTCTAAAAAGTGCCTTTAGTTATCTGAAGTGGACCATACTTTAAGAAACTTCATGATAAGCTAGTTTCCAGAATTCTTAAATTATTTCATTTTAGTACTTAATGTGCTTGAAGTACCTCTCAAGTGTAAGCCGCTATCATGACTCCTTGTGCTGACTTAGTGGAAAAGCCCCAGCAGAGAAGTCAGAATCATCCAGAACAATCAAATCAGGAAGCTGATAGAGGGAGACATCACAGACAGGGCTATAGAAACATCTGGTGGCTATAAGATTTAATGCCCTGCCCTGATGAATGGCTTTGTGACTGTGGTAGACTGTGGGTCTTGAGTTCTGTATAAAATCTTAGTTAATGCTGCCTATAAAATGCTAGAAATAGAGTGCTTATAAGAGCAAGATTGTTTATTTCTATATCCCTAAAACATGTCACGTCTGCCACAGATTTAACAAACATGTTGACTAGATCAAGTGATAGTATAGTGAAGTAGAGATATTCTGGTCTGACAGCTACCTAGATTTCTCAGATTTGGAGGTTGGAATGGGGCAACTTCATGCCTAATAACTGACAGTCCTCTCAAGATAATCCAAACCCTTCAAGATATGGTGACAAGATATGGTTGAGTCAACTGTTGGGGTCTCACCCAGATCTTCTTTCCTGGGCTGCCATGAGTAGGGGCTGCTAATGGCTCAGATTCATACTTCTCCAGAAAGCTGCCCTCAGGTGATGAAAGCCACTTCGTCTTGCTGTGCTGCCCCCAGGAGTGGCCCAAGACCAAGCACTGCCTGGTTTCAGGATACAAAAGCCCAGATCCCTTGCCTCAGGTTGGACATTACTGTGGTACCACTCATGTTACTGTGTCATGATTATGGAACCATTCAGAGATCAAGGAGTCACGTTCAAATAGACTTCAGCTGAAACCATATCTTTACTTACCCCTTCCCCTGCTCTAATTTTCCCACTTACCTCCTGATATGGTTGGGATGTTTGTCCCCTCCAAACCTCATGTTGAAATGTCCCCAGTGTTAGAGGTGGGGTCTCTTTGGGGTTGTTTTGATCATGAGGGTGGATCTCTCATAAATGGCTTGGTGCCCTTCCCATGATGATAAATGAGTTCTCACACAGTTCGTGCAAGAGCTGATAGTTTGAGTCTGGCATCTCTGTTGGTCCCTCTCTTGTATGCATTATACCTGGTCCCCTTTTGCCTTCCACTATAAGGGAAAGCTTCGGGAGCCTCGCCAGAAGCCGAGCAGATGTGGGTTCCATGCTTGTACAGCTTGCAGAACTGTGAGTTAAACCTCTTTACAAATTACTCAGTCTTAGTTATTCCTTTATAGCAATACGAATGGACTAACACACCTCCTTACAGAATTATCTTGAAAGCATTCCCTTAAATCGCTGCAGAAGAATGGCTGGATTTAGAAAACCTGGCATAAGCCACTTAATTCTGGGAGTGAAAGTCAAATCCATATAAGTACATGTGCATACAGCCAACTGATGCTACCATACAACATACCACTCAGAAACTTGCTGACCTGGTGGAATAGTGAAGCAATTTCTTATAGGTACAGCTGAAGTGCCAGCTCAAGATGATACCTCCATACTAACCTTTTGGATACAGAATATATCCTGAACCCACAGCCACTCTATGGTACTAGGTTCTCATAGGAAAACATATGAGTCTGGGAATCAAGAGGTAGAAATAGAAATGTCCCTCCAGCTACCATTCCCAGTGATTCATTTGGGAATTTGTAATTCTCTATAACTTCAGGGTTTATGCATCAGGAGATCCTACTTCTCACGTGGAATGCTTCCACCAAAGAACAGAGTCCCACTAATCTTGGCACTATGACTGCCGCCTGGTCA